ATGTATGTATGTATGTATGTATGTATGTATGTATGTATGTATGTATGTATGTATGTATGTATGTACCAAGACAACAACTCAAAGTTTAATGAATCAGAGAGAGAGAGAGAGAGAGAGAGAGAGAGAGAGAGAGAGAGAGAGAGAGAGAGAGAGAGAGAGAGAGAGAGAGAGAGAGAGAGAGAGAGAGAGAATATTATATATTAAACTAACCTATTTCTTGCCACATTTTTGAAGTCTCAGAGGAGAAACCAATTAACGGGCACCTTTATAAGCGTACTCTACATTTTCAAATGATTTAAAGACCCTAGGCACTTATTGCTATTTGAGAGCAGCGCAGAATAGAAAATTGACGTAGCTAATATAAATGGTAATATTGATCGTTCACCAGCGGCGGAGGCAGTAGCAGAAAATTAACAATGTAATTCATTATCATAATCCCCTTGTGTCTGGAATTTCAGCCTTGTGATGAATGACGCGTCATTAGTCATGTCCTTGGATTGAAATAGGGTAGGTATCGGGGTAAAACTTAACAGTCTATACGGTTTTCTAAAATGACAATGGCTGATAAATTAAGTAAAGAGAAAGTGAAGTTCGTAACACTTGCAAGGTTTTCAAAATAATTGCATTCTGTGTTCAGTAAAGAATGTTTCTACAATACCTTGTGTGTTTGTGTGTGTGTGTGTGTGTGTGTGTGTGTGTGTGTGTGTGTGTGTGTGTGTGAGAGAGAGAGAGAGAGAGAGAATCTTTATAATTCATAAATTGTTTAGAACATATATTCTCGTGTCACAACATGATAACACCAACAATAAAAACGCCTAACAGTTTTCAAATTGCTATTACCATCTTGTGCAAGGAATATACGAGAACACCGCAAAGCCATTCATAAATTACATAAATTATTACTTTATGAAATATATTAATATATAATCTAGTATTGCAGTGCACAGTGCAGTGTCTTAAGCAGTACAACATTCCTTGGCCTAACCAAGAACTGGATGTTGATTCTCATCCATATAGACTGGCATGCTTATGTACCTGACATTACTGCTTAGATCCACGCATATATTGAGATGAAATTTCGGTCCGCTATGAGCTTCTAGAATATTACGTAAGAACATTCGTTCAAAGAATGATGTGTATTTTTACAACAATGAACAGGCAAATCTAAAAACCAAATAATGCTATCCACATTGCATAGTTTAGATAGTTCTAACACTGTAACACTGACCTCTATCATTTGTTATGGTATAGTTATTTAAATATGTTTAAAGTTTACCGTATGAATAATTGAGTTTAATCATAGCAAATATTTATCTTGTCAAATATGTTTTACAATATCATGAATTTATTTGAGACCAGATATTCTCTGAGAGTTTAATTTTTCTTTTTCTTTCCATTCCCCAAGCACAAAGTTTAGTTTTACTAACGAAAATAAATAGTATGTTCAACAATGGTCACTTATATTTCATATATGAAATGGACTCATTTAATGCAAGCATATATAGATCCTTTATTTAATATCTTTCCACATTCACTGTCAATTATTTTTTTAAAAATTTTCTCCAATCTTTTAATTTCCACCACATTAATACCGGAATCATCTCATTTCTTCTGGTATTTTATACTTCGGTTCTACATTTATTCTTTAGTTTCATTTTCGGTTACAATTGCAACGTTTTACAGGAATTGTCATCTCCTCTGGTGAGTACACCATTAGTGTAACTACAATGAATAATATTTGCACCAATTGTTTTAGCAATGTAATTTAAAATGAAAGTTCTTTGTAAATTAAATATTAGAATCTTTACAGATGAGTTCTGTCTAACGTTTACTGTTTTGACTTCTAATACAGATGACATAAAAGATCTTTCCATATCAACTTATTTTTATTAATCTTACGGTAATTTCATGAGATTGCAGGTTTTATGGATGCAGTTAAATTGCAGATGAGAAAAATTCTCTACAGGAAAAAAAATCTACGTTTGATCGAATATTTGCTTGAATTGCTGTTTTACATAATTTTATTTAATTAAAAGAACTTTAAATATCCTTATCAACATCTATATGAAATTGTTGCCTGTTGTCTTATTCACAGTTTCATCGACTAGCTTGCAGTCATTTACACTGTTTTTCTTATTCAATTATTTTGAAATATTGTTTAAATAAATATCAGATCTTTTAACGTTGGACTTTTAATTTCTTCTCTTAGGTCAGCTATTGTTAAGCTAGACATTGCCTACAAGTAGACGCCTTGTCACATTTTTCATGTGTATCATATTGCTGTCGAACTGTATGTTTTTAGACATATTTTCATTTTCCGTCTTATTCTGTGATTGATGCAAATTCATACGTTTTAATTATTTCATTTATAATGTAGTAATTTTCTGCATTGTTACGTTCTAGAAACTGGTCATCGTTCAAATATTTATTCATTAAATCTAAGAAAATGTCATTTTCTGCAGGCGTTGGTTAAACGAGTCATCATATAATTTCCATTGCATTAGGACACATGTTTGTAAATTTTAACATTTTATTCTTATTCTTGTAGTCTTTGAAGTCTTCTCAACTTTGTATATGTCATCATTCTTGTTCGTCAAATTTGAATATCAGTAGCCTCTGCTTTCAAGTCTTCTTGCTGGCAAAACATCGGATCGGCTATTATTACTTGCCTCATTTATAATATTTCCTCCTTAAAGTTAGACAGGTAACCCTTTGCAAACATTTTAAAATTCTGACTGTTTTACACAATTGCTAATTTACAAATTTTAAATGCATCAGCTCTAAAAAGAAAACGATCCATGCTATTGGTCTGTGTTCTTCCTTGTTCACTTCAACTTGTGTAATAATTATTTACATATAATGCGTTTTATTTTGTCCATAAATTATTACTTGTTCATGATGGCCGAAACGAAGTCTTAAATACTGCTCACTGTAAACAATTTAATACGTTACCAAACTTCCAGAAAATAATTTACGTTTCACAAATTGTCTATTGGCTTTATGAACAAGGAAGCAGGACATTACTTACAAACAGCAACTTTAAATATCAGCAATGTGCAACATTTTTATACACACCCACCCCACCCCAGCAAAATAAAGGGTGTGGTTGATTTCAGATTCATGCCAAATTTTGTCATTCCTTTAGATGATTTAGTGACAGCTCTTCCTGATATCGAGTCACAACGGTGTTTTAAATATAAGATGTTCTTTTTATAAATGAATCGTTTAGGCTGACCTTGTAAAGTTTAATGGACTATTGAACTGTATTTTAAATTTAGTCAAATACAACGTTTTGTATTTAATCACATTAATACGCAATTCATTCCTTTATTCATGCCGTCTTGTAATGTTCATTTTTATCTGGATTTTTTATGCTTCTCTTTGTTATCACTATTTAATACAAAATGTCAATGCCCAGTTTCTAAAACATTTATTGAACATCTTTTACCTTATGTTTAAAAAATCAACAGTTGTATTATTGTGTATGCTATTTTAAGTCAGTCAGCTTTAAGCGAAATTTTGTATCATTTAAACCTTATAAAAAATGCAAGATATTTGTTATGGTGGCGCTCTACAGTTTTGTATTTAGCATAGTTAGAATTTTAAAGAAAAATAATTTCCAAGGGTTTCCTCACTAGTTATACTGGCTGTCTAAAAAGGACTTTGTATATCTTAGGTATTTTTCAAAGAACCTTTCATTCCCTTTATTTTGGTGTATGATTGATGGGTGTAATATGGGTTAGAGAGTATACAGCTTGACCTTACTCCAGATGAGCACCTTTAAAAAAAGTGCAAGCTCCACTTGCTCACTTTCACTTCCCGAACTTCAGAGGTAAATTGTAAAAAAAGAGCTGATAACTTTTTTTTAACATTTTATATATTTGGTAATTTGTTAATTGTACTTTCAAAAACTGGTATTGTCTAGTCTGGCAAAATTCATTTTCCCTATTTTAATAGCTGCCAAAGATAGTGTACTTTAGACAAATTCAGGTTGATTTTTTGGAGTACAAGGTAGCTTTCATTTTAGTTAGCAGTGTGCTAAGATCACTTACAATTTTCAAAAGTATAATATCCAAAGAAATGTCAGATACATTATATGAAAGTAGCATAGAGGTATACTAACATCCTCTCCACTGTGCATGTTTTAAATGCAAACAACTTCACCTTACATACACCACTTTCCCAAAAGTACATAATAACTGGTGAGCGCCACCTATAGCACGGCTGCTACAAGTGTTTTTGCAGTTTAGCCTAAACTATTTTAGCATTGCAGTGTTTCTGCAGTTTGGTTTAACATTGTAGTGTGTTTGCAGTTTGATCTAATCTAGGTTAGCATTGACGTATTCTTGCAGTTTGATGTAATCTGGTTTCACTTTGTAATGTTCTTGCGGTTTAGTTTAGTCTGGTTTAACGTTGTAGTGTAGTGTTCTCAAAGTCTAATTTGACCTGGTTGAATTATCGCGCTGATAAAATGCCAGTACTACAAATAAAACTCGACTCGTTATATCCACTCTCTATCGTGTGTTCTATATGCTTCCTTATCAAATATACTCTTGTTCACGTGTGAAATTGTCCTTCCTATTTTCAACACCAAATCCAATCACACCTTTTTGATTACAGCGTAGTTTTAGCAATTTCCTACTAAAATAAGCAATGTTTCACTTTAGCCCCTCTTGCTCCTTATCAAATTTGCTCCTAATATGGTGGCGGACGAATCAGTTCTCAACATAAATGATTTATTCCGCTCTAGCAACATTAGAAGTGTGTGATTTAGATTTTTAACGTAGCTTTAAAAAAAATTCAGTCAAGTCGCAATGAGGTCTGCAGTGTGACAGTTTCTAGTGATGTATAGCACTGGGGCATCATGCTGCAGACATGTGGCATGATGTCCTACCCAGTCACATTTTCCTGACACCAGGCCAACCACTCATAACACTAACATCCTAATGCTGAGCGCCAAGCGAGGCAGCTGTTAGTACCATTTTTTAAAGTCTTTGATATGACTAAGCCGGGGTTCGAACCCACATTCCGCATCCGAGGCGGATTCTCTAACCACTAGGCTACCGGAGCGGTTGGGAACATTAGGATTGGCGCACTAATCAGTTTTTCCTTAAGAGCGTTAATAACTCTTATTTGGCATGGATATAGGGGCCTAAATGTACTTCATGTTTTATCAACCCCGTTCACCTGGCCTGTCTCTTAATACCGATTGATAGCTGATCTGCAAATTTCAAGATGCACTCTGACTATATATATATATATATATATATATATATATATATATATATATATATATATATATATATATATATATATATATATATATATATATCCATCTTTTTCATGGCACTCAAGGTGAGGTCCAATGTCGGTTCGTTACTCCTCATTAGGCTCGTCATCTCTGACGGAAGTACATACTACATTACCGTTTTACGGCAAAGTTATGCGCGACGGACAGAATGGTGTCTTTTTCTCTACTGAAATGACCTATCCTACTCGAGTACGAGTGCACCATTCTAAGCAGGTAAGACCAGAGTTTCTTGGGGTCAACAGTAGTGCCGGATTACCAAAAAGGAATAGGAGATATTTGCGAGAGGGGACCTGAGATTTCGACTTCCTTGGGGCCTCCACAGCGTTTAATCCGGAACTGGTCAACAGGTTGAAAGTATGTTCTACCCTTCAAAAAGTTCCATTTCTTGTTCATTTATCCTTTCCTGTGGACACACTTAAAACTTACACTGTTTTACTGTACCGGACAAGATTCATTCACGAGGTTGCATCATGGCGTTGTTCACAGTAAGACCTAAATTCATTGCGTGAGATTTCTGGAACTTTTGACTGAAATATCTGCCGTTTTCTAGTTAGCTGTACGGCCTAGTTTGGACCGGTTGTATAATAGGGAACTTCGAATATTCCATGTATGACGTCACAACTAAGCGTTGGCAGAGGTCTGAACCACCATAACGATGAAGGAAGATGATGGATAAATCAGCTTATGCCATTGAATTGGCAGTGCTAATTGTATACTCAATACTGACTGATGCTGGGTATAATTGAGGTTATTAAGACTAACACTTTCCTTATATGTATATCTTTATATATATATATATATATATATATATCCACTGCTTTTACAGCTTGGGTATCAAGCAATTTGATATATCATTGGCATACTATTGACATATGAAATTGTGATACGCCCATGTATGTGCCCATACTCATGTATAAACATTGGAACTGCGTGCACATAATTCTAGGACTATAGATTAATGATGCATTTTCACTCATTAATCATTAGTATCAATTATCCCCATTTTTATAAATGAATTTATTAGGATTCACAATTTCATCGCAATCCTTTCTGCTTTCCGTTCAAAGGGCAACTATGTGTTTTAGCATGTGATATAATTAAAATATATGTACTGTATGTAAGCTTATTCAGTGATATGCTACTCGTATAAATTTTCATTAAAATGAAACTTGGAAAGCCTCGTTTCTTTAGCATGTAATAGCGGTGGACCAATTATCCGTTTCTCGTTGTCGTCATAGTCTTCGTCGTCGTCATCATCATCATCAACCCATGATGCAGAATAAAAAGGTGATACACGTTGTTGTCAGGCTTTATCATTGAACTTTATATTTTATTTGTTTATAAAAGATTGTATGTTTAAACAGCTGGAGAGAGAATTGATTATTGTTTTTGAAGTGCTTTAACTGCATGTATTGTGTAAAGACCTATCCTGATCAATGATTACTGCAATAAATTTCACTGTTAAACATATATATATATATATATATATATATATATATATATATATATATATATATATATATATATATATATATATATATATATATATATATATATATACTTGTAAACTAGCGTATTAATTAGAATGTCACGCTCATGCCTTCTGACGTCACGGCGATGTTCCATATGGGAAACTGAACATCTAATATAGTTAGAAGACTGGATCCCTCGACATTTCCATTCGTCAAGTCATATATGGGGTTGTCCATACCTAGCGCATCAACAGTTCCGGATCAGGTAAGGCGTCTCCATTTTTATTCTCGCCACGATTTGCATCGAATGATGAAAAAAAAAATGTAAGAATAATTTAAACAAATGGAAATATTGTACTGACACATGAAATGTTCGAATAATTAGTTTTATATCAGCTGTATTTTCTGTGCTTCAGTCATGTTCTTCATTCACAAATACAACAGCAAAACATTGTATATGACTTATGCATTACGCATCGATGTACCATTGACTTTATTTACTACCATCAGATGATTAATAATTAGTTTTTATGTCTTTCAGAAAGAAATATAAATGCTTCTGTATTCATCTTGCACAACAAAAATAGTTTAATTTACTTTTGGTTTAAAATAGTTCTTTCTGGTCTAGAAATTCCCAACAATCCATATTTGTTATTTTGGAAGAGCTTAACTAGAAATGCATGTTTCCAAAACTAGGGTTGCCCAGAAGTGGAAGAAACCGGATTTATATTTGGAAAGCAACCAATCCTAAATAAACTTTACTCGGAACATCCTTTATTCCATATAGTAGTTTTATAGATGCATTTATTTTAATAGCATGTAACGGAAAATACAGAAGACGTTCTCATTGGGATGAGCGTCTTCAACGGTCTTTTGCCCATCACGACCAAATAACAATCTGAATCCAACAGACGAATGTCTACAAAGCTTTCACGTCAATACAATCTGGATAGGCCGCAGAAAGATGTCCAAAAACTAAAAGTTAGAAATGGCAATGACCAAGGTCTTTTATTCTATACATCTTAAAGAATGACCAGAGTAAGTCCACATTAACCTTTTAGCGTGTAATCAAGCTACAGAAATCAATCTTGGGAAAGAAGTGAGTGGTTTAACAGTATTCACAGCTTTATCTTAGTTGTTGTTGTTGTTGGGCTTAACGCCATTTTCAGCACACGATAAGCTATTCATGGCGGCCAGTATTATTGGTGGAGGAAGAAACCGGGAAATCAACGGAAAGAACCACCGACCCACGAGAAGCTACTGGCAAGCTTTCTCACATATCCACATTCGCCGAATCCTAGACTCGAACCCACGCAGACAGAGGTGAGATGGCAGTGATTCGTAACGGACAGCGCTTTAGACCACCCGGCCACTCGGGGCCCCGCTTTATCTTATACCCAGATGTAACTGGTTTTATGTTGTGAAGTTTATGATGTTATAAGCATTCTTTACTGTTAGTAATCCGGATTTGTTATTGACTATATTTCCTTATCAATGCAAAATATGGACATCAATGTTCTGTTTATAACTAGGCAAACTCCTACTTTCGAAAACCATTTATGTCAACAGTGAACGCCGAAAGACTCGAGTTTAATTTACAGGTTCAGACAAGAAGAGAAATCTTGACGGAAGATTAAAATAGCACATTGCGATTATCAATAATACATATAAGAGAAGCTTTTGTAGATTTTTCCGAGTAACATTCCATTTTGGTGCGGTTAGATAGTGTTTCTCCGAATTAGCCATTTCCTGACAATTAGCAGGGAGTAAAATAGGGTCTGTTGCAATTGTATGAAGGACATACTTTGATGTTCTCGAGAACGTTCGATACGTCTTTATGTCTTCATAAATTTGATCGATGAATTAAGATGAAAGAAAAATGAAATCATAAATGAAAGCTTTAGAGAGTCTATTTGTTAGTTGGCTGTTAGGGTGAGAGAAAATGGTTGCATCCAATGATCAGGATTAGATTTAAGCGGGAACCTGCGATTCTTGTGACGAAAGAACAGTGGTGCTCTGATTAAGTGTCAAACACACACACACACACACACACACACACACACACACACACACAAAGCCAGTGACAAAACCCCATGATTGGACTATCACTGAGACTTTTGAGCAATATATATGTGAGCAAATAATTCAATTATTTAAAAATATGAGGCCGCTAATATAATTTAGCGACTAAACCGTACCACCTCATTAAGGCTGACAGTATATTGCCATTGTTGAATCAGTTCTTATTTTAATGTTCGTGCCCTGGATTGATATATAACATTACAGATTCGGATTCGCATTGGGTACAAGGAAATTCTTACTCACAATAAGCTTGCAATCGCACTGCACTTCCATCGATGACATGGAACACAGCCGACCTTTTAACGCGTTGATAATAAAACATAAAAGTAAACAAAAACAATTTTAATTTAACAATTTTAATTTAAAACACGACCATTTTGTGGTAGTACAATATATAACATGAAATATACATGAAACATTACCAAATGTAAAATTGGAATCTTACCAATGTTAAATGAAACATTACAGTAAGAAAAGGAAACTTTACCAAATGTAATAAAGCTTATAAAATATAAAACGAAGCTTTACCAAACATAAATGGAACATTACCAAATATAAAATGTATTTTCCATTTTTTAAATCATGAACAATGGTCATACACATGCCATTTCACATACATAAGTCTACTTACATATAAAACGAGGAAATGCAAAATAACTTATATTTGTGTATTGCATTTACTGTATCGCATATTTTAAAAATTGTGCTGTGTTGTGACATTGTATTGCCTTGTATTGCATTGCATTGTACTACATCGCATTGTATTGTATTGCATTGCATTGCATTGCATTGTATTATTGTATCGTATTGTATTGTATTGTATTGTATTGTATTGTATTGTATTGTATTGTATTGTATTGTATTGTATTGTATTGTATTGTATACAGATTTAGGACAAATTTGGTAATATTAACACCTTATAATTAATTATAGTTACAACATGTGCGAGCTTTAGGCTGGTATGGTTCAATGTATTTCATAATATGTGTATGCGCTTAATAAGAGTTTTCTTTTAAAAGCACCGTGCTTTTTCGCAGTTATAAAACACGTAGGCGTATTACTTCTTTTTGTACCGTGCTGTTGATTAATTGACACTGTCCTTGAGGGACTCAACAATTATTGTTTTGTTCGATCGGAAATCCCATTGCTGATGTTAACATTTGTCTCTTACTTTGTCAGTTATACACTGACCTTTGCGAC